GAGTTTTCACCGCCTGTTTGTCCCACCCCGAGGGGAGCTGGTAGGTAACCCTTGGCTGTTAGGCACTCATTCCCAGCGGGTCCAGCTTTGTTCCTGTAAGGAAGTCCAGGCCTGGCTGAGAAGAAGCTGCAGGGAATCCCGGGTGCCACTGTGCAGAGCTGTGACCCAGCAGAGGTTTGGTGTCAAGGGGCTTGGACCTTACACTTGAGACTCCAAGTACAGCTGCGAAGCAGCCTCCCTCCCACCCTCCACAACCCCAGCCTGGGGAGAAGATGCAGAGGATTCCGGTGGAAGCACATAGGAGGTGGTGTGTGATTTAAGGGCGTGTCTGAGACCCTTGACCCTGACTGACCTCGTTCACTAAGATAGCCAGGACCCCGCAGATAGGAGGACAGCTGTTGGCTCTCCCCCAGACTCACATCCACCACAGACCCTGGCCATCCTGCAGGCGCTGGGAGGAGGAAGAGTGTGGGCAAGGAGCAGAGGGAGGAAGGAGAGGGGAAAGGAGGAAAAGTCAGAGAAAGTCGAGTGAAGGAGACAGGGATGGCTGCAGAGCAGGAATCTAAGTGATATGGCTAAAATCAACAACACAAGACACAACAGGTGTTGGTGAGGATGCAGAGAAAGGGGAACCCTCTTACACTGTTGGTGGGAATGCAAGCTGGTGCAGCCACTCTGGAAAACAGTATGGAGGTTCCTCAAGAAGTTAAAAATAGAGCCACCCTATGATCCAGCAATCATGCTGTTGGGTATTTGTCCAAAGACTACAAAAACACTAATTCAAACATGCACCCCTATGTGTATTGCAGCATTATTTACAATAGCCAAACTATGGCAACAGCCCGTGCCCATCAATAGATGAATAAAGAAGATATGGTCTATATATACAATGGAATATTTCTCAGCCATAAAAAGAATGAAATCTTGCCATTTGCAACGACATGGGTGGAGCTAGTGAGTATAATGCTAAGCGAAATAAATCAGGCAGAGAAAGACAAATACTATATGATTTCACTCATATGTAAATTTTTTTTAAAGATTTTATTTATTTGAGAGAGAGAGAATGAGATAGAGAGCATGAGAGGGGGGAGGGTCAGAGAGAGACGCAGACTCCCTGCTGAGCAGGGAGCCCGATGTGGGACTTGATCCCGGGACTCCAGGATCATGACCTGAGCCGAAGGCAGTCGCTTAACCAACTGAGCCACCCAGGCGCCCCACTCATATGTAAATTTAAGAAACAAAACAAAAGGGGGAATAAAAGAAAGAGACCAAAAAAAAAAAAAAGCGCAGAGTCTAAATTCTAGAGGACAAACTGATGGTTATCTAAGGGGAAGTGGATGGGGTAATGGGGGAAATAGGGGATGGGGATTAGGAGTGCATTGTCCTGATGACCACCGGGTGATGTATGGAAGTGTTGAATCACCATATTGTACACCTGAAATTAATGTCACACTGTATGTTAACTGCACTGGAATTAAAATTAAAAACTTTAAGAAAGTGACAGAGGAAGTAAAAGAATCATTGGTGAAGCAGGGGGGAGTGAGAGAGCCAAAAACGATAGGAGGAGGGAAGACCCTGTCTCCCACACACATCTGGCTTCCGTGGTGAGACTGGTCATTTGGTCTGTGTGTCTGAGATCAAGTGCCTATCGTAAGAGTAAATTAAAAAGTGTGAAGGACCAAAGAGCATTTTCCCCTTCCCTGATTAAGGAGGGTTCCTTGATGCTCTTAGCTTTATCAGTTAAGGGTTGTTTTCCAGTTTCAGAAAGTAAATTCCCTGAGGTTGCTGGTGCTTTGAATTCCTTGAGGTATGAGAAAATGCGGAGCTCTGCCAGGCATTTGCTGTCCCCTGCTGGCTAAAGCCTGGTTCTGCACACCCTGCTGCTGGGAGTCAGGTTGCAACTGCATTTCATGATTCCTTTTGCTGGCTCTAAAATCATAGACTGGATCACCACATCAAATACCAATGATGTGTTGTATGGTGACTAATATAATAAAATTTTAAAAAATAATGAAAAATAAGTAAATAAAATAAAATCGTAGACTGTAAAAGCTGAAAGAAACTTAGATCTCCAGCCCAACCCTCTTCCCTAAGCTTTAGACTTGAATTTTGATCAACCTGCTGGATATTTCCACTTGAACCTCAAACTCAGCAGGTCCACAACATAGTTAAGACAGTATGTTTTAATTAATACACAATGCAAGCGAATGATTACAAAATGACAATGGGTTATGATCAGCACTGGAATAGAAATGCAATGGGGTGCTCTGTGACCCCAGCGGAGAGGTCACACTGGAGAACACGTAGAGAGCAGCCAAGGTCATGGAAGTCTCCGGAGGCAAAGCAAGACTTGTGCTGTTAAGACAGAATGTTAAGGCTGTTAAGGAGAATGGGGGGTGGAGGGAGGTTGGGAGAAGTGGGCAGAGAAGAGCATCGAGACAGGCACAAATAGGCTCAGAGAGTTGGAGGAAATGCTCTCATTCAGGACTGCTGGCCTAGGAGTGGGGAAGCAGCGGAAGATAAGGTTGTGAGGACGGCAAGTCCAGATCATCAAAGGCCCGCATCCCTTGCTAAAGGAGAAGATTGAACTGGGTTCTGTGTCCATAAACTTTTCGCACTCTCTGCATATGCGCATGTCATTCACGATGCCTCGGGGGCCATACTCCAGGTCAACACACATAAATTGGGGAATGTCCTGGATAAACTGAGACATAGCAGTCAACTCTTGCTAAGCCTCAAATATACTTCCAACCCCTTGGCCACAGCCTCTTGGAGGCTTTCAATCTTGTACCCTGAAAGCATGTGGTGAACACTCAGATCATAACCTCTGTAATTATCTGTCCTGTGTTTCCTCCACTGCACTAGGTGTTCCTTGAAAATGAGGGCTAGATTTTATTCATGTTTGTATCCTTAAAACCAGTGCTGTGCCTGGGACACAGGAGGCACTCAATACATTAAATCAGAATAAAATAATAGCTAACATTTAGTGAAGGCACTCCTCTAGGAACCTGACACAGACTATATCATTGAATAATGGAGGTCGTGGGTACTTTTATTGGGTTCGTTTTCTAGATAAGGAAGCCAAGACACCAAGAGGTTGTGTAACTTGCCCAAGATGACACAGCATAAGAGGCAGAAGGGAATTCTAATCTAGGGCTTATTTCCAGAGCCTAAGAAGGAATAAAATCCAGTCTTGACAGAACTGGAGTGTGGATTTGCAGAATCATCCAAGAGCCCGTTCCCCAGCAGGCCCAGCCAGTGATGAGTGTGTGAATGGGACAGCACCAGGCATCATTTGCATGATCCTGTACAGTTGACCAAACCACTCCCCATCCATTGTCTCCTGTGGTCCTCACAATAGCCATGATCTCCAGGTGGATCCATTATTCCCATTCTATGAATGTGATCATTGAGGTCCCCAAGGTCAGTGAGCTACTCAAGATCACATAGAAAGTACTAGAGCCTCCCTTTGAGCCTGTGTCTTTGGACTCCACACTCTGGTCTTTTTAACTGCCAACACAATTATCCAGATGGTAATGAATCCGTCTGATGAATTTTTTTCATCTCTAAAATGGGAGTTCATGTCTACCCTGGAAGGTGGGTGTAAGGATGAGCTGATAGATGTAAAGTAGTGAGGGGTAGGTGCTCACTAATGGGTGGTGTGGGAGTTGATGTTGTTATCATCATCATCATCACCTGAGAAGATTTGGGGTTCGGGGTAGGCAGATTCCAGGCATGGGTCCCAAGCCGTAAACTGAAGTAAAATGGCCCCAGAGGAGGGAGTTGAAAATCTGGTTTAGGTTCCTAGACAAGGTTGGAAATATAGATTCAGGTCTGCAGATCAGAAGGCTTATTGATCAGAAAATGTGATCAAGATCACCAAGGGTCAGAGCCAGGACTTGGGTCCCCAGGCAAGACCAGGAGCAGACATTTTCAAACCTTACATTGTGGTCCTTACCATCATGGCATGAGATAGCTTTCTATTTGGCTGGACTGTGAGTTCATAAGGACAAATCCAGCTTATTCATCATGGAATTCCAGCTCTGTGTCCCCAGTGCCTGCCATATAAAAATTGAAGGAATGAATGAATGATCGAGTAAACGAATGCACCAATGGGTCCCCACTTACACAAGCAAGCCCACAGCGCATGGATTGGAACCCAGCAGGGTGGGGAGCCAGATCACATAGAGCAGAAGAACCTGGAGTGTGTAGTACCAAGTGTCACCCATGGACCCTAGGGAGCCTGGTGCTGAGCACTGAACCAGAGACACTCCACCAAGAGGGAGGGAGAGCCATTTTTCTTTGCCGATATGATGAAGCATGCGCACACATGAACACACATGTGCTACATGCTCTCCCTCTCCCCACCCTCCCCGCCAACTGAATTTACGCAGATAATAATCTCAAAGGATTGTTTGCAGTTTGCTCCTGCCTGAGACAGGGGCATGAACCCGATGACCTCTCCGTGACTTTTCCAGGAGCAGCATTCTGCATCCTTCTCTGTGGCGGGTCCTGTTCTTTCTAGTAGGAAGTACATTTTGCAATTTCAGAAACAATTCTGAAGGGCCTCAGATGAAAGAGGTAATTTCCTTCAGTAACCAGGGACTCTAAAAAGAGTAATACTAAGCCGTTATAAGAACGTTTCATATGTTTGAAAACCATTGTCCTATACGTGCAGGACACACTCTTCATTCATTTATATTCCTGTTGCTTTACCAAAGCTTGTGGGAACTTTTCATATGAAAGGTGTCTGCAGCCACCCAGCTCATTCCATTAACTAGCTGGTTAAGTAAAAGTATGCACATTGCTTACCCTTCCTCAGATCTGTTTTCTTTAGCTGGAATAATAATTCCTACCTGCCCCATCGGTTTGTGATGAGGTTACTTGGTAAAACAGATCAAGCACATGCCAACGTCTCAGGGAAGTTGTCGCTTCATCCTGGTTGACACCATCCTCTGGAGCTAGCCGGGACTAGATGCTTCCTCCTTCCTTCCCTCCAGGTTCCTCATTGTCCTGGGATGCTTGATTCTGGCCGTGCTGACCACGTTCAGGGAGTACGAGACTGTTTCGGGAGACTGGCTGCTATTACTGGTGAGACTGTGCACCCCCCCCCCGGGGGGGGCGATTCTGGGGTAGATGCCTCTGGTTGGACTCTCACAGTTGAGAGCAAGGAGGCTGCCCTTGGGCACAACTGGTTTTGGCTTCCTGGCCAAGTCCAGTCCCAAGAGAAAGCAATGACTGGATCAGTTGGGCAGGTATGCATGGGCACAGGTGGAAGGGAATGGTATTTGTTATTCTAGACTAGAGACAAGGGGGCACAAACAAGGTCAAAGCAAAAACCAAGGCACATTAGTTATATGATAAATGGCGGCTTCTCAATCCTCTGAAAGTTAACACAAAGGCATTCTCTGTTCTAAAACCTGCCTCTGCTTTTTCTCCTTAAAACCCTGAGGATCTCTGACTCTCTTCAAGGCCAAGTACCAAATCCCATTTCTACATTGAACTCCACATCCTTGCTCCTGGGACCTCTGCCTGTTTTATCTCTGTTCCCTCATCTATACAGGCAAGGGGTGCCAGCCCCCCAATTAGGGTCTACAAAATAGCAGAACCTTCACCTCGCACTGAGCATGCCATCCATGATGCCGGAGTCAGGGGGATTCCTTCTGAAGGCAGGTGTTTCCAGTTCACACAGTCTCACGCTAAGATCTTAGCAGGTGAATCCTGAGAAGCCATCTAGCTCCAGGAACTAGGTTTCAGGGATTATTACAGAGCAGCAACTCCCCAAGGGTCCCAGGAGGTCACCAAAGGGGGGGGGGCAGAGGTGTCTGCCTGACCAACAAGAGAGGCAGGAGGGAAGGAGGAAACCCGGGGTCCAGGGAGACAGCACAGCCTGGTGCTCTGAGCCTGATTAGCAGCGTGGGAATCCCTCTTTGCCACGTCCTAGTCTGGAGGATTTTGTGTACCTACTCCTTGCCTTGGTTTCTCGAAACATAAAATGAGAATAATATCATAAAACACTTGAAGCAGAGCCTGGCCCAGGAGCCCTGCTTAGTAACTGTTGGCCGTAAGTAGCAATTCCCGGGGCCAGGCAACTGGGTGGGATTAGCAGACTGTGTTTCATTGATAACTTCTCTTTTCAATTTAACCGCACTTAGAGGCTTTTCGTACATAAAATAGACTTTTTTTTTTTAAAGGGATCCATTGGAACCAAAACAGAGAGGAAAAAACAAGGAATCCCTTTGCAAGGCTGCTCTTAGGGACAGTTAGCACATTAGCATGGACACGGGGACTGTCCAAAAGTGCCCGGAGGTGATAACGTGTTCTTCTTCCCCCTCCACCACCAAAACAGCAACAGCAACGGAAACCCCGCTCTTCAGAACCTCAGAGCAGAAATCTGTACTCCCAGACAACTGGGTCCCAGTTGATCCGTGTCTCTCCATATGTTCTTAATGCAGGAAACATTTGCTATTTTCATCTTTGGAGCCGAGTTTGCTTTGAGGATCTGGGCTGCCGGATGTTGCTGCCGCTATAAAGGCTGGCGGGGAAGGCTCAAGTTTGCCAGGAAGCCCCTGTGCATGCTCGGTAGGTAAGCCCTGACCCTGAGTCGGGGGCGCCCCGGTCCCCCTGCTCCTGGTGCGCCATTTCCCCGAGGAAATGTGGCTTTATGGAAGCCCGCGCAGCCTCTGACCCTACCTCGGTGAGGAAGAGCCGCTCCAGTGTTCCGGACGCAGAATTCCTTCTTCTGTGGCTTGCCCTCCTGATGGCTCTACAGGGCTGTGATTCTTAATGAGCGTGATGGGGGGCACTCTTGGCATTTGGGCTGTGAAGGAGCAGCCCACTGTAGGACGCTGAGCATCCCCAGTCCCTAGACTGGAAGCCTCCAGGCATTGTGACAACCAAAACTGCCTGCACCCTTCCAGACTGGTGCTTGTGGGCATGGGAGGGGTGACACCACTGCTGGTTGAGAATTACTTCTATGGGCCCACGTTGTGCCCATTTTACAGAGGGGGACACTGAGGTTCACAGTGCTGAGTCATTTCCTAGTCACACAGGTAGTAAGCCGCAGATTCCATCCTAATAACATCAGGTCTGGAAGAATCTAGCACCTGTGCCCTCCATCCCTCCCACGTTGCTGGGTGTTGACCCCCAAGTTGCTTTGGAGAGATGTCTCTGACACCCTTCCCTTTGGGTGCAGGCATTAGATAGCAGAGAAGGTGGACACTTCCACTTACCCCTGTTGGTGCAGCATGAACCCATATGTTTCCATCTGAAGATCCCACTAAAATCATAGAGCAACAGTGACGGGCAGGAGTTGGAACCTCAAATTCCTAGTGATGATTAAAGTTACAGGATCACAGGGCCTTGAAAGGCTCTCCAAAGGCACCTAGTCCAACACGCCGGCCCGTCTGATATTCCCTTCCCCTTCATAGCAGCCTGCAAGTGGTCACCTGCTTGCATATCTCCAGTTCTGGGGCGCTCACCACCTTCCAACGTATTTATTCCATCTGAAGTCTCTGACTCTCTTCAGATACTTGAGTTCAGTCGTTCTGTTCTTCTCTCCACTCCAGCAGTGGAAAAGGGTGCTCAGTGGCTCTGGCTGTTCCTTGTACCACAGGTTCTCAGCATCGTTCTTGCTCTTCTCTGAGCATGCTCACCGCCCTTTTAAAAAATGACCCCCAGGACTGAACACAGCCCTTTGGATGCAGATGGCCAGCCCAGGGAAGGAGAGCTGGAGCCGTCCTCTGTCCTATGTGCCGCACTTCTCTCTGGGCAACCAGGGGGGCCCTGCCTTGCTTGCAGTTTGCTTGGCACAGTGACTGTACCGCTTGACTGCCTGTTGAACTCGCTCTTCCTTCTTCCCATCTCCTTCTGAGGTTGGACACCTGAGGGTTTTGTGTATCGCTCAGCACGTTTAATGCAAGGAGAGGCTATGTGGTGTGAGTGCATGAGTGCACACAATTTTGGAGGATTTTGTAGTTACTGATTTCTTTTCATATTTTTCAACCTTCTCTCTTTCTTTGTCCTCCTTCCCTGTCTGCCCCTGTCTCAGTCCATTCAGGCAACTATAACAGTGCCACAGACTGCGGGCTTATGAACAAGAGAAATGTATTTCTCACAGTTCCAGAGACCAGAAGTCCAAGATCAAGGTGCCAGGCTCCGGTCGAGTCCCTCTTCTAGGTCACAGGCTGCCCATTTCTTGGTCTGCTTGCTGTGTGCTCACGCCGGGGAAGGGGCCGCGGAGCTCTCCGGAAACTCTGTTATTAAGGACCTGATCCCATTCGTGAAGGCTTCACCCTCATGACCTCATTACCTCCCAGAGGCTCCGCCTCCTAAGCCCATCCCATTGGGGGCCAGGATCTGAGCAGCTGAATTTTGGGAGGACACAAACATTCAGCCCATAGCAACCCCAGCTTGCCTTCCCCCTCTTCTTCTGTCTTCCTTTCGAGTCTTTTGCAAGGTGTTAGGTGGACTTCTTCTCCTCTGGAGAGTCCTGTCCAGTGCTGACCAGAAGTCCTGCACACCCGCTCCTGTATGCAAGCCTGCGTGTGTTGGCAGGGGGTGGGGGAGGTGACTTTATACCCAAATTCAGAGGTTCTCACCCAGTTCGAGAACATCCTAGTACTGTGTGGAGCCTGGACGCTTCCAGGAAAAGAGCATTCCCCATGGAACAGTCTTCACTATTCCAAAAGGGGCTGATTTGACTGAGCTCTGGATCACGCTTCACTGCCAACCTCCCCTGGAGAGCCAAGGCCAGCCCTCAGCATCACCATCCTGGCTAGCTTCCTTTCTGGGATGCCTGTGTTTTCTGCTCTCCTCCTCTCAACTTCTCCCATAACATAGCCTTGCGAGAATTGTTGCTTTCCTCTGCATGTTTGACATGAGGGTGGTTATCCGTCAGGGCACATCATGGCCTTCATACTCAAGGCAGCCCCAGACCCTGCCATTTCGGGTGTGAGTGCGTCCATCTGGGCCAGAATCTCCCATTCTCTCTGAGCATCATAGACTCAACTCACATTTACCCCATATCCAGGTTTTGTTTCCTCTTGCTTTCTGCAAACATTAAAAGTGGGTAACTTTGCACAGATAAACTGAGAGGCCTGGCTAAGGGTAGACATATTGGTATCCAGATGTTTGACACTGAGCTTTTCCCCAAAGTTAGGCACATCTGGGAGACACCTTGAAAGGGCAGACGTACCCAGGTGTGAATTGAGGGGCCTGTTCCAAGCGGGAAGACCGACACATACAGAGGTATGGAGGTCTGAGAGAGCCCTGTGCTCAGCAAAGAGCACCAGATTCTGAAAGGCTCACAGGTCAGAGGGTTTTCAGGTGCTTGGACTTTACCCAGTGGATAAACATCTCTTCCAGTGTGTCCCTTAGAACCTGATGCTCTTGCAAAAAAAAAAAAAAATAGTCCTATAGCCAAAATCTTTGGGGAAAGGCTCTGCTTCGTGTGTGTAATTGAGAGCCACAGTGCATATTAGCATTTTGAAGGTTCTAGAAGTCCTACAGTAGCAAAACGTGCTTCATCAATTTTTCCCCAAATTTACTTGGCTACGGGGTCCCTTTTACCTGTGGACCCTCTGTAGTGTGGTGGGGAGATGGTTGGTATGGGTGTTGGGGGCCACTGAAGGGAATAGGGATGGACCAGGGCATACTCCTCTGTCCTTGGCTATTGGCTTCAGGAGCCAGCTTGGCCCTTCCAGAAGCCCCTCATCCCCTCCACCTTCTCTGCTTTCAGTCACAGCTGTGGTGGACGTTTTCACATCACCTCTGTGGAGACCAGCCTCCCACTTCATGGGTGGGCTTCATGTTTTACTGCAGTCTAGCTCAGGGCCTTCCCTGAAGCTGAGGGAGACCACCAGGCCATGCAGCTCAGAAGTGTGGGGCCATCAGCAACCCCAGGGGTGACCCTCCACCACCAGGGGACGGGAGCCAACGGACAGAGGTCCCAGCTCCCATCTTCCAGAGCGACCACCTTGGGAGGCTGCTTATAACTCCCCTTACCTTGCCTCTCTCCTTTCCTGTGTCCCTCTCCCCTCTCTCATGCCTCCTGAGATGATCTCCCTGTGCATCACTCACGGCCAAGGCCCTGACTCGGTGCTGCTTTTAGGAGAAACCTGCCTTCAACCACGTCTGAGCTTCAGGCTTCCCCTACACGACCGGGGCATATCCCTGACCCCTCTGGGCCTGCGAGTGACCCTGTCACCCTGGGGACCTCGGGGAATCCCTTCCCTGGGATGGAGAATTAGGGCTGGAGCCTGACAGGCCCGCATCCAGTCCCCACTCGGCGATGTCCATCCGGCCCTGTAGCCTTGGGAAGACAGACACCCATGCTCAGGCTCTGTCCAGTGCCTGTGGTGGTTCCTTCGCGTTCGCCTGACCTTCTTTTCCTTCTCCCCCGCCACCCCTCTGTCCTCGTTCCCAGACATCTTCGTGCTGATCGCCTCTGTGCCGGTGGTTGCCGTGGGAAACCAGGGCAATGTGCTGGCCACCTCCCTGCGCAGTCTGCGCTTCCTGCAGATCCTGCGCATGCTGCGGATGGACCGCAGGGGCGGCACGTGGAAGCTCCTGGGCTCGGCCATCTGCGCCCACAGCAAAGTAAGTGCCACGGAGAACCTTCTCCCCGACCTGTGCCTTTCGGGGCATCCCCCTCCCTCACGGCATCCCCAGAGGGTGGTCACTCGGCCACCGCTGGTGAGGATGATGAAGAGGAGGAGGAGGAAGAGGAGAGGCACCAGCGGGGGTGCCGCAGCGAGCACGAGCAGGCAGAGCTGGGTCCAAGTCCTCGGCTCCACCGAGTGCCGACGACCGTGGCCAAGTCTCTCAGCTCTCCTTGAGCCTCGGTTTCCTATTTCTAACCTCGAGAGAATAATGGCTCTGCCTCCAGGTGGTTGAGGGGGTCAGGTGAGCCAACGTAAGGCAGCTCGGGATGGGAGGGAAAGGTTCCGGACTCACCCAGACTCGTGGGAGTCCAAACTCCATTGGTGTGACGCTGGGGGTTTTCTGTAACCTCAGTGGGTCTTGGCTCCTGCATTTATGCGGACGATAATGCGCTCACTTCCTAGAGTGAAAAGACTTAGAACGGGCTCTATTTTTATGAGCTGCCTCAGTAGTTAAAATGAGGATCCTTCTGGCTGCTCACATGAGAAGAGGTACGTTTGAGTGCCTGGTAAATAGTAGGCACTCATTACTGGTAGTGTTTGTTATTCCAGATATGCTTTTCTTCACAAATAGTACAAATACCTAAATAAAATGAAGTACAAATGAAAGGCGCCCAGAGTCCACCTCACGATGCTGCACGTTTTAAACCGTCTGTGCTGCCTCTGACCCCAGACTCGGTGAGGTCAGAGCTTTCTTTCGAGGGTTTTCCACCTGACCTTCCACTCTTATCAGAGGACATGCTAGTAACACCTAACCTTTCATCCATGGAGCTGAGCTGATTCACGGCTCCCGTAGAAATCAGGGCTGAAAATGGCTGGTTTCGATTCTCGTCCTGTGTTCCCTCCGATTCGGAATAGAAAACAGTTGCCTACCTACCGGGTAATTCCGGGGACGAGATATGTCCACGCCACCACCAGACCCTACAACTGAGGTCAGGTGGGCAGAACTTGAGACAAAATGACAATCTCTGTGGTAGGAGACCAAAGGCAGAAAAGCAACTGCTGGTCAGGCTCCACCTGCCATTCTTCCCCCTCACACGTCCCCCTGCTTAGCCTGGTGCTTTTCCAGAGCTGCCCAGCGGCTGCCCGGCCAGCCTTCACTTCTGGGGTCTGCAGTGTGATGAGGAGGTGAGCACACACCTGGGTTGGAGTCCCGCTTCCCCATTTAGTAACTACAAGAGCTTAGCCCAGTTCCTCCTCTAAGCCTGGTAACGGGCACTTAGCACTTTACTTCCTCAACCATTCATTCCAAACTTGTGGCCTCTGGGCCATGTTCCATGATCGGCTCCTCAGGAAGGCCCATGTGGCACAAGGTTAGAGTTTCAAAGTTAGGATAAGGCCAGGCTGTGCTACCAGAACAAAGAGGCCCCAGAGACTCTTGGCACCAAAAAAAGGTCGATGTCTTCTCCGATGTCGGACGCGGGCTAGGTGGCCCTCATCTGTGTTGAAGATGAGCATTGAGTCATCGAGGCAGCAAAAAGGGGCCGGGAGCACCCTGCAGAATGGATTTAAGGAACAGGCAGGAAGTTGCTGCCGAATTTCCCCCACATTGGCTCCACCCCAGCCCCCTAGCACCCCCAGCCCCAGTCCGACTTCAGGGCGGCTCAGGCATGTGCAGAATTCTGTGGCTATCGAGGAACAGCCACGGGCTCTGCCACAGAGTTACTGGCAAAAAATCGTGTAAAGTCGGAATTACCTTGAATAGCCTTTTAAATGACTGCAAAACACAGAACTGGGACACATTTTCACTCCTCGTTAATGACCATTATGCTACTTCTTAATAATCCAACACAACCAGTTTTCCTGTGTGCTCATGCACAGACAACAATTTCCATAGCTAAGCACCAGATGAAACGTTTGCCTTGCATTCAGGGGACAGAGGGAATGAAAGAGCATAGGAATGCTAGAAACCGCACTCAACAAGGCGAGAGGCTCCTGCCCAGACAGCCGCAGGGGAAGGACTTACCCAATTCGCCTTTGTCTTCTCTAAGCCTGAGCAGGGCACTCACTGAAGGGAGTGGCTGGCTGGATTGCCTGCACCATCAAAGCTAACCTCTCTGGGCTGTAAAGTGAATTCACACAAGTGTATGTGACGCTGTGGGGGAAGCCAGACCTAAGCAGTGGGCACAGTAAGTATTAGAGATTTCGAGAAAGCTTACTCAGGAAATAGTGAAAGCGTAAAGGAACTAGAGCTGAACTCGATCTCATGGAGCAATGGAAAACTTCCGTAATGGAGTTGATGCACGTCTCAAGATGACCCGCTGCTCTTCTCTTCATCCCACGGGGAAAGGCAGTGCAGGGACAGAGGCCAATGTGAGCAAAGGCACGGAGAGAGGCAGGAAGCAAGCCCGAGATTCTCCGGACCCAGAGGTTGGCTGCCTGGCCGCTGACGGTCAGATAAAGTATATTGATAAGAACAACTTTGTTCCCTGGGATGACTTAGGAGGAGCGTCAGGCCTCATCTCCAGACTGCGTTTGCCAATAACCTTGACTTTCTTCTGCCCAACATACCATGCTGAACTTTGAAATTGGAATAGAATGAGAGAAATAGAAAGAGACTTAGGGATTGTCTGGGTCAGGGTGTTTGAAACCTCGGTGATCTGCAGATCTTTGCCATATCCCTGCACCATCCTTACTATTCCTTAGCATTGTTCTCTAAATCAACTCGCTCTTGTGCACCTACTCACATGTCCTAGTCTATCATGTGATAATATCCACGAAATAAAAGATGTTATGCTCATTTTAATTTATGCTGATTTTTAATATCGCTTAAATCAGTATGTGACTCTTTAACATAAAAACTGCCTGCCTTCCTTCCATCGGGAGTACACAGGTCACTTTTTAAGAACTGTGATCCAGTCCCTTCATTTTGAAAATAAAGAAACCGAAGCTGGGGAGGGGGTCCATTTGCCCAGGGTCACAGAGGAAATCAGTGGCCGGGCTGGGTTCGCTATGCCACGCTAGCTCCCCCTGCTGTCAGTTTCCTGGTAGTGCTGATTTATCCTGGATCTGCTCCGCCCTGCTTGGAATCAAGTCTCCTGAGTCCTGTGCCTTGACTCAGAGGCGGATGCCCATTTCACCTGCCTTCCTGCCTCCCTGTGAAGGCTCTTGAGCTGTGATATCAAGGTCATCCGGAGACAGAAATCTTCCTCTCCTCGAGCCATACACTCGTTCTGTTAATGATGGAAATAAGGACCGTATTATTATCACAAAGACAAGAAACAACTAGTGTTGGTGAGGATGTGGATAAAAGGGACCCCCATGCTCTGTTGGTGGGAATGTAAATTGGTGCAGCCACTGTGGAAAACAGTAGGGAGAGTCCTCAGAAATTGAAACCAAAATAAAATAAAATAAAATAAAATAAAATAAAACACTGAAACCAGAAATACCGTATGATCCAATAATTCCAATACTGGGTTTACGCGAAGAAAACGGAAACACTAATTTAAAAAAACACATGCACTCCTATGTTTATTGCAGCATTATTTACAGTAGCCAAGATACGGAGGCCACCTAAGTGCCTATCGATAGACAAATAGGTAAGGAAATGTGATGTGCATACACAATGGAATATTACACAGGCATAAAAAAGGACGAGATCCTGCCATTTGTGAGAACATGGATGGACCTAGAGGATATTATGCTAAGTGAAATCAGTCAGACAGAAATGCAAATACCATATGATTTCACTCATTAGTGGAATCTAAAAACAACAACAACCAGCAAATGAACAAACAAAAGGCAGAAACAGACCTATAAATACAGAGAACAAGCTAATGGTTCCCAGAGGGAAGGGAGTGGAGGGCTGGACAAAATGGGTGAAAGGGAGTGGGAAATACATGTTTCCAGTTATGGAATGAATAAGTTATGGGAATAAAAGACACAGCAGAAAGAATATGGTCAGTGCTATGGCACTGTATGGGGACAGATGGTGGCTACACTTGTGAGCACAGCATAATGTATAAACTTGTTCAATCACTATGTTGTCCACCTGAAACTAATGTAACCTTGTGTGTCAACTATTCTCAAATTAAAAAAAAAAAGAAGAAGAAGAAGGTAGGTCTCAGAGGTAAGGCTCAGAGGTGAATAACTTGCCCACAGTCATGGATCTGGTAAACCTGGACCCCAACCCTGGCGCGTCTGCCTCCAGCATCCATCCGCAGACTTCCCAGTGACCACTTCCCTTGTCCACTGCTTGCTTTCCCAGGAGCTCATCACTGCCTGGTACATTGGGTTCCTGACGCTCATCCTTTCTTCATTTCTTGTCTACTTGGTTGAGAAAGATGTGCCAGAGGTTGATGCACAAGGAGAAGAGGTGAAGGAGGAATTTGAGACCTATGCAGATGCCCTTTGGTGGGGCCTGGTGAGTCACCATCTTGAAGGCCCCCCAAGGGGACTGACTGTTAGAGAGAGGTGGAGGGCATGGCAGGGGAGGGCTCAGGTGGGCAGCTGCATTTGTAGGCACAGGCCAGAGCTCCCTCTGCAGGGAATGCACCTGGAACGGGCTTTTCTTTAGTGCTTACAAGAAGTCAGGGCTGGGCACAGTCTGGTCTCATCATCTCTCAGGGACCTTACTTCATTAGTTGTAGGCTGTTATCAGCTAAGCCATGCATGTGCAGACAGACATAGTCGCAGATGCACACATGTGCACTCAGACCTTCAAACACACCCAGAGACCCACAGCTCATCCCACAGGAACACATGGTACTAAAGCTAGCATTTTTTTTTTTTTTTAAGAGAGAGAGAGCATGAGCGGAGAGGCGCAGAGAGAGGAGAGAGAGAATCCTTAAGCAGACTCCCTACTGAGCACGGAGCCCGATGCGAGGCTCAATCTCACGACCCTGAGATCATGACCTGAGCTGAAATCAAGAGTAGGACGCTTAACCAACTGAGCCACCCAGGCGCCCCAAACTAACATTTTTTGAAGGCTTACTTTGCTCCAGAGCATTGTTCGAAACACCTCACATTTATTGACATTTTAAATTCAAAGAACTCCTATTTTTAGCCCCCTTTTTTAAGACTGGGAAACTGAGGCAAGAAGTGGTAACCACTAGAATTTGACTTGGGTCCAAGTCCATACGAGGCTTCTCCTCCTTCCACTTCCCACCTTGTCCTGACCTAGGGACTCACAAGGAAGAACCAGGCTAAAGTCCAGGTGCTTAGCCAGTCAGCTACAAGATGTGGCCCCTCATATCAGCCAAGGACAGAGAACCCATAAGCCAAGAGAGGAGGAGACACCTTGCATGTGCTCAGTATTGGACAGTTGGCCCATTTATCCTGCCCAGTAGGTAATTAATCCAAGAAAGATCTCTGAGCCAGTTAGTGGTTGACCTGGGATTTGAACTCAGGCAGTTGGGCTCCAGAGGCCACACGCTGGACTGCTCTGCTGTCCTGTCCTGTGCATTCACGTGCACACAGTAACCTACACTTGTAAACACACCAAGGACTGTACAACGTGCAGCAGGACAGACATGTGCACAGGTGGGAGACATGCACACATATGCACACAATACATGTAAGTACACGCATCAGCATGTGTGCATTGGAAACATAGCAGTACACAAAATCACAAGCATGTAAATATGCCAAGAATGCACGTGCACATGTTTGCAATGATTGAAAAATTTGTCAGCTGATCGACTCTATGGAGGAAATCCTTAACTTAGAAACTGGCCTGGTTGCAAGGCGCCCGTGTAATTACTCGGCACCTGGCACCTTTTCTCCCGTGGGAATCACGTCCCCAAGCAGTACGACTTACAGGTGGAGCTCGGCTGATGTGTCCCTGACTTCCCTGCAAAGACCCACGTCCAATCTCTTCTCCCTCCAGATCACACTGGCCACCATCGGCTATGGAGACAAGACGCCCAAAACGTGGGAAGGCCGCCTGATTGCGGCCACCTTCTCCTTAATTGGTGTCTCCTTTTTTGCCCTCCCAGCCGTAAGTACTTCAACGTTCTCCCTAGTGTGACAGGTGGGACCCCTCCCTGTCCCCCGGGCCCAGCTGCACCTTTCAGGCTCAGTTTCCACCCTATTGTACCCTTAGCTCCACAGGTTTGGCTGCTACAAATCCCAGTCTCAAGGCTGCCTTCTTTAAGCTGACTTGACACCCCGCCTGCCCCGGGCATAACTCCATAAAGGCATTTCTGGTCCCCTGCTGCATTCCCCTCGGCCCCCCACCCCCAGACTGTGAGCTCCCTGGGGGTTGGGATTTTGTCTCCCCAGCACCTTGCATAGGCGGGTCCTTCCTCTACATGAGCTCCCTTCCCTTGTTCTACCATTTCATTTACTGGCTTATGTTAAAAAAAAATGCATCGTCCTCAAGAGTGAGTACTTGACCCATGATAGAATAACCTCCCCAAAGCCCAGTGCCCATAAGTATAATACAACAGTCACAGAAAGCATTTGTTGGACTTACTGTGTGGTAGACTCATGCCAAATGCTTTACCTACATCTCATTCAATCTCATTTAATGACATCATGGTGAGTTTGGTGAGTTTTTAATCACCATTGTCCAGACGAGAACACTGAGGCTCAGGTCAATCAGGTTTCCACGATCACAAGGTTATTGGGTTGTGGGCTCGGGCTGTTAATAATGAAGCTGGAAAGAACCTTCTTTTTTTTTTTTAATTTTATTTATTTATTTGACAGAGAGAAACACAGCGAGAGAGAGGGAACACAAGCAGGGGGAGTGGGGGAGGGAGAAGCAGGCTTCCCACTGAGCAGAAAGCCCGATGTGGGGCTTGATCCCAAGACCCTGAGACCATGACCTGAGCCGAAGGCAGACGCTCAACGACTGAGCCACCCAGGCGCCCCTGGAATGAACCTTCTTATGGAGCAAGCCCACTTCCACCCCCTTCATCCCCCAGAGCTAGCCTTAGTGATATTCTTCCTCCACTGTCACCTACCTTGTCTGTTTTTCCTAAGCTCGATGACCTAGGGCATGTGGCCTTTGTGAATCTCAGTTTCCTCATCTGGAACAGGTCAGGGGCTGTGGGGGTGCTGCATGGTCTCGAAGTTCTCTCCCAACTTGAAAAGGGAGAGCTTCTATCCAGGTAATCCGCATGGAAGTCTGACCTGGAAATCAAAACAGGTCACAATTCTGGGAGAGTCCAGTAAAAGTCTTAAGTGACCAGTTAAGCGGCTAAAATATTTTCACATTCCATTAGCATTTACTGGGCATCTGTTCTGTGTCATACTTCTTACCAAATGGCTCCGATAGATGGTTTCAGGTTTTGCTTAACAAAATTATGAGGAAGGTACTATTAGCCCGGTTCCCTGGAAGTTGAGGTGCAGGAGATAAGAGGCTTGCCCAGGCTCTCCCCTCTGGAAAGTGGCAGAGTCAGGAACTGAAGCCAGGCCTTCCTGACATCAAGCCTCCACGTAACCCAGCGACCTACTCCCTGGAAGAGAATAAAGGAGTCTTTGTGGCCCTGGGAGTTGGGGTGGGGCCCCCAGAGAGGCCAGCGGGGCTGACCCAGGCCTGACTTCTCCCTCTAGGGCATCCTGGGGTCAGGACTAGCACTCAAGGTACAGGAACAACACCGGCAGAAGCACTTTGAGAAAAGGAGGAAGCCGGCCGCTGAACTCATTCAGGTCTGTCTGCCGGGGGAGGAACCGGATCGGGCGGGAGCTCCCGTGGGGCTGTGTATGCTTGTACGGCGGTGGGTGTGCCCGGGCTGGGGATGGGATCCCGGGCCATGCTTGCTTGTACACGGCTATGGGTGTTCCCATGGTGATCTTTCGACCTGTCCTCGTGGCATGAACATGACGACCATCCCAACTCTCTCCCATCCAGATTCTAAGCCAAGTGAGAAAGAGACACAGGACTCTAACAGGGACCAAGCAAGCCATCAGCTGTTTTACTAACAGTGTTGGAGTGGAGAATTTGACTTGGGTCTGAGTCCATACGAGGCTTCTCCTCCTTCCATTTCCCACCTTGTCCTGACCTAGGGACTCACAAGAAGAACCAGGCTAGAGTCCAGGTGCTTAGCCAGTCAGCTACAAGATGTGGCCCCTCATATCAGCCAAGGACAGAGAACCCATAAGCCAAGAGAGGAGGAGACACCTTGCTTGTGCTCAGTATTGGACAGTTGGCCCATTTATCCTGCCCAGTAGGCCATCACGCACCAGTGGGTGTTGGACGCCCAGCAGCTCCATAATTCCCGCAGTGTGGGCTGGAAGTGGGGAGGATAGTGCAAGCTGGGGAGAAAGGCAGAAGTGTTCTCATTCATGGTTTTGTGGGCTGTTGAGAGAACAGAGAAGAGGAGGGTGGAGAACCTTGACTTCAGCTGCGTGGGACCACCCACCATGAGCTTGCGTCCGGTGTACTGAGGGTCTCTGTGCATCTGTGGGTCTGACACTGGATGGTACATGATGTTATCCTACATAATGTAGTGCCATGGCCAGTCCCTGTCTCTAAGGGTATGCTCTATTATCCCCCAAACCCCAGACCATCACAGTAGTCCTGAAGTTCTAGCACATTCGAATCAAACGTCATCTCTGGGGCCGTCTCTTGCACCCAAAGTTGCACAAAAGACAATGTTTATCCTCCTAGCTATTTAAGAAGTCTCAGGGAAACTTGCATCAGGAGTAACCCCTGCTCCTTCCGGGGATTTTATACCCAGCACCCTCTTCTCCCTACTGCATTTCTCCACACCCCCACAGTACCAGTTAGGGCTCCAAGATGATGGGTCAAAGAAGGATTCCTTCCCAAAGGAGCTACAAAAGCCAGGAAACCTGGCTTCTCTGCATGTCACCTCGATGCATATTTAAACTCTTAGGAGTCAGGAGCTTCCCAAGTGTTTTCATGCTGCGGGATTCTGTGAGAGTGTTGCAGTTCTATCTGGTGGTTCCAGCCCCTCTTTTCTCCTCCTCAGGCTGCCTGGAGGTATTATGCTACCAACCCCAACAGGATTGATCTCGTGGCGACATGGAGGTTCTATGAATCGGTCGTCTCTTTTCCGTTCTTCAGGCAAGTGGCAACCCGTCTGAATGCTCCGGGTGTGACTGGCCGTCCCTTCCGTGGGTCTGTGTTTGTGCCTGTGGATTCATAGTTTCTTGGAGAACAGCGTATGGTTCCCAGTGTATGCCACCTGTTAGAATCACCGGGGAGCTTCAGTAATCCCACTGTGCAGGCCACACCCCGGGCTAATTAAATCAGAACCCCATAAGAGTGGGGTCCAAGCATCTGTACCGTTTTAAGCTCCCCAGGTGACCCCACGAGGGGTTGTTGCCAGGTAGACAGTGTGGAGTGGCTGACAAGGGAAGGTCCGATCATCGTTTGAGCAGGGCCGATGTCTGAGGAAGTGGGGAGCCAGCACAGTGGGCCTCACGAGCAGTCCGGGTGCTCCCCGCCCCTGGCCATGGCCTGTACCCGCAGACTCTTCTGGATACTGGGAACAGGCAGGCAGAAGAAGCAGCAGAAGGAATCCTCCAATAACCCAGAGATGTTGTTTTGTATTCTTAGAGGTGGAGATTAAATTAAAGGCCTCAGGGGCACCTGGTGGCTCAGTCAGTTAAGCGTCTGACTCTTGATTTCGGCTCAGGTCATGATCTCAGGGTCGTGGGATCGAGTCCTGCGTTGGGCTCTGTGCTCAGCGGGGAGTCTGCTTGTCCCTCTGCCCCTCCCCTGGCTTGTGCTCTCTCTCTCTCAAATAAATAAATAAAATCTAAATAAATAAATAATTTAATTAGTTAGTTAATTGCCTCAGGAAAAAAAATAAGAATCTCTGCCCACAGCCAGCACCTGTGAAAGGGAAAAGGGAAGTTCATATTCACTGGACATCCAGTGCATCCAAGAGATCCAAGTTCACACTTCGTTCACTCCTCACAGGCACCCTGTAAGAGAGCCCAGAGGCTCTCAAACGCTAAGGTGCATTAAAATCAGCAGAGGGCTGCGGAAATGCAGGTCGTGCACCTGCCTTCAGCCGCTTCAGTGACGTGGGTGGAGTAAAGCATCTTGGACAGACAGGGCTAGGCTGACAGAGTGGCTCCTGCTCGCTCCTGGAGACGGGTGGAGAGGTCGGGTCACCAGGCTACTCTCACAGCGGGGCGAGCTGGGGTTCAGAAACTTCGGGCATTTTGGCCAATGTCTGCCACATCAAGAGGCCCCCAAAGCCCTTGGCCTTTTCACTACTTGGGCTACTAAAACAGCCTGTGCCTCACGCCTCCCCAGGTTTTTATTTGTTTGTTTTTAGATTTTATTTACTTATTTGAGAGAGAGAGTGAGTGAGAGAGAGAGGAAACACAAGCAAGGGGAGTGGCAGAGGGAGAAGCAGGCTTCCCGCCGAGCAGGGAGCCCAATGCAGTGCTCCATCCCAGGACCTTGGATCATGACCTGAGCCGAAGGCAGATGCTTAACGACTGAGCCACCCAGGCGCCCCCTCTCTAGGTTTTAGACACTGCAGTCCTGAGCTGGGACGTACAGTGTGTGGATGGAATGTGGAACCGCCGTACCTCCTGGGTTGGGAGGAAGAGTAGAGGGTCACTCAGTCTCACATCAGGAGCTGGGCCGGCTCGGAAGTGTGTGTCTTCCACACCCCTTTGGTTTCATGGACCATAACGTGACCCAACACTAGCCAAATGGCCCCTCCATCCCCAGCCCGCCCTCCCACTCATCTATCATGGGACCTACACCCAGGCCCTTCACCCCCATCACCAGATTGTGGCACAGATTTAAGGAGACTCAAGAGATCGGGGTTCCACTGGCTCATTTCCCTGCATTAAACCTTCCAATGGATGACCAAGACAAAGAGAATAAAATCCACAACCAGACCATGAGTGACAGGGCCCTGAGAGCTTGGGCCCCTGCTTGCCTCTCCCTTCTGGATCCTCCAGTGGCAGGTGCTGCTTCTTACTCAGGACGTCCCATCCACCAATTGCAGGTGACATGCGAAGGAATCTGACCTTGATCCCGAGGGCAAAGAGAAGCTGTTTGAGCCCGAGTATGACACGATCAGATCAGTGTGTCAGGAAGATGACAGGAAGGGTATGGAGGTGGGTGGGAGAGGCTCAAGATTCTAGGTGAGGAGATCAGCTAACAAAGGCTTGCAGCGTTCAGGGTGAGAGCAAGCCAGGGCTTAGACCAAAGTAGAAGCTTGAGAAGGGTGTTGCAGAGAGGACCAGAAAGGGAATAAGCAGGTGTGTGTGTGGGGGGGGGGGGGGTGTCAGGGAGTAATGACTGGCAGAAGACTTAGGGAGAAAGAAGAATCGAGGCTTCCATAAATGAGTGATGGAGTTTGGGTTTATGGACTGCATCTCCTCACCTGCAGTTAGATTCACTGGCTCAGAAGATGGTCTCTGTGGTTTCCTTTGATTCTAAAGTTCTGTTTTGCCATCATCATTTCTGGTTAGGGATGACATCAGTCTTCTTTTGGGTCACAAGAGTCCTCGAAGGGGCAGGGGGACTCCCTTGAAAAGGACAGAGTGACCTTGGACTCGGAAGCAAGAACAGGTGCAACCCCTGTGAGTGCATAACCGAGATGATTTCCGTTTGCTGTGCAGCCCAAAGTCTTGGCAAGAGGCCCATTCTTTTGGGGTGATATATTATAAATAAAGCATTGTCCTGGCTGTCAGACACTTGGAGGAATACATTGTACTGCAGACAGCTGCTGTGATACGGGAATGGCTTTTAAACTGAGAGAGAACATTCCTTTCTTCCTTCCTCTTTCTTTCTCTTTCTTTCTTTCTTTCTTTCTTTCTTTCTTTCTTTCTTTCTTTCTTTCTTTCTTTCTTTCTTTTTCTTTCTTTCTTTCTTTCTTTCTTCCTTCCTTCCTTCCTTCCTTCCTTTCTTTCTTCCTTCCTTTCTTTTTCTTTCTTTCTTTCTTTCTTTCTTTCTTTCTTTCTTTCTTTCTTTCTTTCTTTCTTTCTTTCTTTCTTTCTTTCTTTTTTCTTTCCTTCAAGGACAAAAGTATAAAGTCAATAGAGAGGTTCACTTAGCAACCATTCTGAAACAAGTCAGTCCCTTGGGAAAAGAATGTCCCTGAATTTCAACCCACTCAATACGTTTCATGGTAAAGCTGTCCTCACCTGCCTCCTACAGACTGTCTTTTGTTTATGTTTTTCTAAAAAAAAAAAAATAACCTTATTATGTTTCACTTACTCTAAAAAGTACTTTTGAAAGTGAACAATTCAGTGGTTTTTAGTATATTCACAAAGTTGGGTCTTGATCACTACTATCTAATTCCAGAACATTTTATTGCCCCAGAAAGAAACCCTGTCCCCATTAGGAGTTACTCCTGGCTCCCCCTTCCCTGAACCCCTGCAACTTCTAATCTATTTTCTATCTCTATTTTATCTATTCTGGACTTTTCATATAAAAATGAAATCTTATAGTATATGGTCATTTAGGTATGGTTTCTTTCACTTAGCATGTTTTCAGATTTCATCTGGGTTGTCTTGTGTATCAGAACTTGATTCCTTTTTATGGATGAGTAATACCTATTATAGATGCCCTGTTTTGTTTATCCGTTCAGCAGGTGATGCACATCTGGGGAGGTTTCCACTTTGGGGCTATTATGCTGATGTCCACATTGTGTGGACACAAATTTTCAGTTCTCTTGGGTTTATACCTAGGAGTGGAATGGGTAACTGTATGTTTAATTTTTTGAGGAAGTGCCAGACTGGTTTTCCATGGTGGTGACATCTTCTGACATTCCTCCCAAAGACTTTGCAAGATGAAGTTGTGTAGCCCATCCCAAGGAGTGGTCCCAAAACAGGGTTTCCAGCTCAGTGCAGTCCTTCATGAATTCACAAGGATATATATGTTTAGGCTAGTGGTGATGGATACCTTTTTTATTTTTATTTTGTTACTACTTAAAATTATTTAAGACCACCTGTTGCTTTCCATCAACAGGGAATGTGCATACCACTTGGTTCCCTAAATGTTGTGGTAGAATTATCTAAGGCACATCTGTGTTGTCTGATATGGTACCACTAGCCAGATGTGGCTTTTGAGCAACTGACTACTACTAGTACCACTGAGGAACTACATTTTAGATTTTATTTAATTTTAACTTAGTCATATGTGACTAGTGGCTACCATACTGGACAAGCATTAGATAGTAGAACTAAAATGGAGGCAAGACTTAGGCCCAAGAGGTAGAAGTTACTTCACCAAGAAGACCCCGTTCATTTTTTGTATAACTCTTTTTATGACCAGCATCAAGATTATTGAAGGGCTCAGCAATGGAGAAGGAAATATATGTAGCAATCCTCCTCCATGGCCAAGTAACATGGATCTGCTTTAAGAGATGCTCATTTTATCTTTAGAATGCCCTGGAAGAGAAGAAGAAGGGGTAACTCCATTTTCATAACCCAAATATTATCAGTGAAGAATCAGAGCATCAGTGAGATTAATTAGCTCACCTAATGTCACCCCTCTAGTCAGTGATGGAACAAACATGAAAACAAGGTCTTACACCAAAGCCCATTGTAACTCTGGGAAAAAAAAGTTTTTTAGGGAGAAAATTGTGTAAAATTAAGATAAGACAAGGGTTACTGGGATAATCATACCCATTTCTTTTTTTTTTTTTAAGATTTTTTATTTATTTATTTGAGAGAGAGAATGAGATAGAGAGCATGAGAGGGGGGAGGGTCAGAGAGAGAGGCAGACTCCCTGCTGAGCAGGGAGCCCGATGCGGGACTCGATCCCGGGACTCCAGGATCATGACCTGAGCTGAAGGCAGTCGCTTAACCAACTGAGCCACCCAGGCGCCCTAATCATACCCATTTCTGAAGATTCTTGTCATGAAGGTCAAATTGAATAGAATGTAAGGAAGCACCTGTCACAGTACCTGGCCCAGAGCAGGTGTTCAGTCTCTGCTTGTTGAATCTGGGCTGGAAGGAAGTATTGGTGTTATAGCAGGAAGGAAAGACACTAGGCACCCAAATATAGTCCTGAGAAACCACTGTTAGTGAACGACAATGGGGCTTAAACACTCTGTCTGGAATGTAGTTACAAATATTTTATTTATTTACCCCATTCATTCATCAGGTATTTACTGAACCTCTCTTACATGCAAGGCACTGTATTTGGCACTGGGGGCATAACAGTGAACTGTGCTGATCCTATGACAAGGTTGATGGAGACACAGACAGGGAAGTGCCCGCTGGATGTTTATCACTTGGAGTTTCTTGGAGCTTTGCCTGGAGCAATCTCCGTGGAGCAATGGGCATAGAAGCTTGCAAAGACCAAAGAGAGATGTGGAAATGAACACGTGGGGACAGCAAGTGCAGGTGCCAGATGGAGTGGAATGTGGGGCCAGGACTCTTGCCATGATGGAAAGGGTCTAGAGGAGAGGGATGAATGTGAATGCAGTGGGGAGGGGAGAGGCTGGAGGAGAGAGCAGGGCAGAGGGATGGGTTCTGGAGCACGAGTGGAGGATCAGGGGTGTGGACCCTGCATCCGTGTGCACAGAAAGGAAGCAGAGTGGGCAGGGCTAAGTGTTCGAGGTTGCCGACTTGGTGGGGGGACACGGGGCAGATCTGTCTCCGTAAGAAGTGAGTCAAGTTCATAGCCTGGGGGGGAAGGGAGAGGTGGGAAGTGCGATGATAGAGAAGGCATGGAATCCTTGTCTTGGAGAATGAGAAAGGAATGGGGGGGGGGCTCTATTCTTTAACACTGCTCTCCATGGCACCCCTGTGCAGGTCCTGCCCTCCACCCCTCCACCTTTTCCCTCTCCTCTCAGTGCTTTCCCTTCTTCCAGAGTCAGACAGCCAGAGAATTCTAGAAAGGCAGAGTGTTTTCTGTGCACATGCTTCAGATAGAGAGATGGGCCCAGAGATGTATGACCCATCCAAGGCCACCTGAGATTAGAGAGGGAGCTGACCCATGAACTTGAACCCCCCAGCTGGTCCCTCTGCTTCTCTACCATGATACCTCTTATTCGCTCCCCATTTCTCCTACCCCCAGACCCCAGTAATAAGCCACTTATTCATTCAGCATTTATTGTGCATTTCCCCCATGCCAGGCAGGCTTTGGGATGCTGAATTTCAGAGCTGAAAGCAACAGAGGCTCTGCTCTAAGCAGCTCATAGACTACCGTGTGATTGTACAAGAGTGTGTTCAGAGTCCAGTCCCACGTGTTAAGAGATTAGCTCAGCCTAGACCCTGGGGATTTGGATAAGAAACTCCAGGACAGGTCCCTCCAGCTGGAACTTGAAGGATGAGCAACACTATTCCGGGCAAAGCCTGGGCAAAGGCTCAGTGTCTGGAATTTGTGCATACCACTCGTGGTTAGGAGGGTAAGCTCTGGAACCAGATCACCTGGGTTCGAATCCTGACTCTGTTACTTCCTAACTGTGAGAACTTGAGCAATGTTCTTAACCTCTCTGTGCCTCACTTTGTCATCAGGAAAATGGGAATGATATTAATCCTTCCCTCATAGAGTTGTTATGAGGATTAAGTGAGTTAATCCTTCTAAAGAACCAAAAATAGTATCTGCCTAATAATTATTGCCCAATAAATATTAGCAATAATGGGGATGATGTCAACTATGGTGACGTGGTGGTGACAGAGTGACGGGGGGTGTGGCGCTAAGTGATGAAATTCCTGGTTTTCTGGTCTGTCCTCACTGCTAAACAAATCCCTTGAACCCCGCACAAGGCCTGGGCCAGAGCAGGAGCTCGGCAACCATCCTCTGGGTGAGTAAATGAATGAATGACCTGGAAGAACCCTAAGAGCTTAGGGCCAAGCCTTTGTGATGGGGCCTGGGGTCTGGCCGGAAAAAGTCAGCTCATTCACTGGTTCCCCTGCAGACTCACCATCTCACCCTAGAGCGCCACTGTGTGCCTTCATCTTCACCAAGGGACGCTTTGGGGCCCATTGTGGGGAGAGGCGAAGCTGTTCATGCAATTTATACTTTCTCTATGTTTTTCTTTCTCATTCCCTCTTAGGAAAGACCAGCTGGAGGCAGCATCCAGGTACGTTTCTGATCATGAACTCCCTTCTTCCCACCACCATGTCGGGACAGAGGGGCCAGTTCTGTATGGTGTAGGGACCCTAGGCAGCATGCTGGTCATGAGCTTGAGTTTGGGGCTCACTGCTGTTGCTGACTACCTTATTCCTCTGCCATTTTATGTTAATTTACTCAAGGACAACTCAATTGTGATCATAGCTACAGCCACTTGGTGAGCAGGAGCACCTGGAGTTCCGTGCCTGGAGTCCTTACATATATTGTCTCACTTGGTCCTCAAAGCCACAGTGTAAGACCATCCCTAGTACCCCCCATTTGTGGATTGAGATTGAGGCTCAGAGCATCTGAGTTATCCCCCTTGCGTCACAGAGCTACCAAGTGACAAGACCAATATTCCAACTCAAGTCTGAATATGAAGACCACCTTATTTCATTATATATTGCTTCCTTTCCTTCTCGGGTTCACAGATGGCTCCTCAAAAAGTGAATCAAGACGATCCTTCATGATCCCTGTAAACCCCACCTCACCCCAGGCTACTGCAGAGGCAGGGTGGGCTTCTGGATTCTGAGCACTTCTGTGTCCCTCCCTTCCCTCTCCCTCTCAAGATGTCACCATATCAGGGGGACTCTGGCCTCTGCTTGGGATTGTAAAGAAAAACCATCTCTCACCAAAATCAGCTTATTTATATATTTATAACTATAAATGTAGATTTAGTTTAATCCCTTATGTTGAGAAACTACTTGTGAGGCATTGCAATCTGTCTCCTGGACACTAGGCTCCACCGCTGTCCTTCTAGAGCTGACAGAATTCAGGTGGAGGGGGTGGCAGGACACTGGGCCACATTATAAGGGAACAATTTGAGGACAGTGGCCTTTGGGAAGCCTGGTCTAATCCTCTTGAATGGGACCCATGATGCCCCATCCCATCTGTAATCCCTCTTGAGAAAAAACAGTTAAAGACACACCAGTTAATTCACATGCAGAAGCACAGTTCCGACTTTCTGCCTCCTTTGTGTGTGTCTTGAAATGGATGGAATGTTTCTTGCCTGGACCCAGTTTGGACTGTAGGGGCGTTTGGGGATCATAGAAGGGGGCCGAATGACGGACAATGACAACATCAGGGGACTTTTGTCATCAGAGAACCTGCAACAGCTCACAGAGGCAGAGCAGGAAGACACCTCAGATAGCCTCCCCTAGATACACCTGTCGAAGCCGAGGTGCCCTTCATAGAAGAGGGCAGGTTCACCCCAAATCCTGAACCCGTGAGCACCAGGGTTACACAGTCCAGGTCTCAGGACTCCCAGAGGGGTACTTTGTCCTCTCTTTCTCTCATGACCAACAGGGTTTTTAATCATGCAGGTGTTGACACTCTAAGTGAACTACCATATCTACCTGAGAGCCTTTTCTATGCAGACATGAACAAAATTCAGCCAAATTGGAATGTACATACAAAAAACCACGTATACACTGGCTCGTGCACTCCCGCCTTACCTGGAGCCTGGGGAGATGCATTCTGAGGCTTTGCGGGGGATGCTGCTCCCGTTATCACAAAGGGGCTGTCTGGGATCTCAGCAAGTTCCTCACGCCCCTCTCAAGAACTCTCTGCTCTGCCAGGGGTGCAGAGGGAAAACACATTTCATGATTTCTCAGGGTAAGAGTTGCCAGCCATTTGCTGGCTCATCCTCCCCCCTCCCAGGAAGAAGAACAAGGTCAGTTACGTAAGCCACGCGGTCTCCCTCGTCCAGGCTCTGGCGCGGTATTTTGGGTTTGTTCTTCAGACAGGTTGGTTGATGGATTGGCAGGTGAGACACCAGGTGTGATTTTAGCTGCAAAGCTGGGAGGCGGGGCGTGAGACCTGGTGGACGTTCTGGAAGAACCCTCGACCCAGGCATCATCAGTTCCTTTATCCAGGAGGGCAGGGAGCAAGGCGAGAGAATGATGAGCAGTGTGCACGTGTGTTAGATGAATCCTTGCAGATGGACATTTTCCACCTTTGTATTAACTTCTTCAACAGCTTGCCAGATAACTGGTGTTTTGGTCTTATTTATTATTTTTTTTAAATAGCCAGAATCAGATTGGAGTTCATCTCACTGCCCCCTCCAAGCGTAGGTGGTCCACCCCGGTGTTCAAGTGTCAGACTGAGGAAAGTGTTCTATTCTCTGTGACTTAACATATCTCAGTTCTCTGTGGCTGGGGAGTTGGCTTTGATCATTTTAGGCTTCTCAGGATCTATGATTCTGAGGCTAATCAGAAGGAACAGAACCAGCTTCTCTTGTGCCCTTACCAGGATCTGAGTACTTTTCCTAGGTCGTCTTAATTAATTCTTATAAAAACAGAGGCAGCTGACATACACACACCCTCATCCATTCTTACCCGTCATGGTGCCCTGAGGTAGGACTCAGTACTTCCCTATAAAGCCTTTGTTCTGTGTATAGTCAAAACTTTAAATTCTCTCTTCCTCTCTAGACCATGAGCTAACACTGTACCTGAAGTATAGAGTGTACCCCCCTTCATAAATGACTTAATGAAGAAGGTTCTGTACCATCATTTTACTTGTGTGAGATTGAGCTCAAGCATTTAGTTAACTTATACATTCACCAAGCACGGAAGTAGCCAAGGTGGGGATTTCAATTTCCGGTCTATCTGACTGGACCGGATCCTATCAGGCTGAGTCCCAAGCAGCACAGGTAATTACCATGCCCTCCTTGTCCTCAGGGGTAGAGAGAGAGCTCGGTTAGTCTGAAGACCTATGAACTTGGCACTTGTTCTCTCGACCAGGAACTCTTAGATCACATCTTCATACAGCTCATTCCTTTACTTTGTTCAGAACTCTGCCTAATGTCACCTGCTGAGAGAGACCCTCTTTGACCCTCTGCCCACGCCCCATCAGTCTCTGTGTCCTTGATCTTACTTCATTTTCATTGTTAGCATTGATGATTATCCAATATGTTATGTATTTGTTTTTTGTCTGCCTTCTGTACTAGGTAGAATGCCTCTGAGGGGCTGGGCTCTGTTTTGTTCACTGAGTTATCTCCAGCACCTAAAACTGTGCCTGGAACACAGCCTGACACTTGGTTAGCTTTCAGTAGATATTAACTTACTGACAAAGTGGTGGGTGAGCATGTGGATGGATGGGTGGATGGACAAACTCTTATTCTACAAGTGTCATAAACCCATAAACCTTTTCCATAAACTTTGGACTAAGAGAGAGATTAATGGCTCACATAACCCCCACCTGAGAGGGTGAGATCCCCGGAAAACAAGGAATGGGATTCTTCTGGGATTTCTCTTTTCCTCTCTTGTCTCCACTCTCCTTCCCGATTTCACTCTCTCACTGACTTTCTGCATACTCATGAAGGTGTGGGGGCAAGCAGCCCCATGATCATGTATTTTTCCCTCCTTCTCTATCTGTCCTTCACCCAACACCAATTTGGGAAACCCCAGGGAAGCCCTTAGATTGGCCCAATTTGGGTCACATACTCATGCTTTGGACAATGTGTATGGCTCAGAGAGTAAGAGGCCATGACTAGACAAACTCTGGGTCCTGTGTCCACCTGTTAGAGTGAGCAGTGTGCATTCAAGATGCCATGAGGGCCAGCCCCCATTAGAATCACTTGGTTGAAGTTGGAGGAATCAGTTCCCCAGTCGAATAGGGTCCCTTTCCCCCAGAGAACAGGGGTTGAAAACATAAAGCAGGCAAAAATGACAGCTACCCATGACAGGCATAAATCCCACCTGAAATTTTTCAGATGCCCAAAAATAATGCTGCATTAAAGAACATCAACAATAAACCAAACTGAGGCTCATTTAATCCATAGATTATACCAGAAAAGGCTGAAAGTTTATGGTAGGGACATCATTTTAAACCTCATTCACAACTCTTCAGTAGACATGCAGCAGAGCCAATAATTAGAGGCATTTGTTTGAGAGAAAATAGTGTTTTTGTGCATTTTCAAAACAGGTAACTGTTGACAGTAACGGCTTGCTTGAGCCGTATTGTTTACTTTGTATTTTCAAACAATTCCATCTTAACAGCAGCATCTGGGACTCTTCTGCTCTGTATCCATCTTGGGAGAGGGAAGATGTTCATCCCAGGCCTCTTCTTTATCTCCTATCTTGTTCTTATGTCCTCCCCTCTGCAGAGTGCTCCCCTTTAGTAAGGATCATTCTTTGGGTCAAAGAATTTAAGTATAATAACAATAATTTATAAAGAATGCTTCCTATTTGCCAGGCATAATCCTAAACACATCTAGCCGTCATAGCCACCCTGATGGGGAAGATACTACTTTGAATCCCTATTTTACAGATGAGAAAACTGAGGTTCAAAGAGATAAGTGATTTGCACAGGATCCTGCAACTAGACAGTGGCAAGAACAAAAGTTGATCTGGTTGGGTTACCACCATGGTGTGTGGGTCCAGCACCGTACTGGTCGTCATAGGTGTCAGGGACAGTTAGATAACCTGCAGATGTCCCCTTTTGCTTGTTTGGTTTTCTTCTACTTTCCCTTGGCTCACTGTAGCTGGAGTCCCTGCCATGAGAGGAGGCTGTGGAGGGAGGGAAAGGCACAGAGCCAGGATCTCCGACAGAGTGAAGAAGCATTTGGTCAGACACTATAATTCACACTTTACCTTCTCCCTGTGACACTGGCCACCTGAAATTGATCTCACAGGGTGACGGATGATGTTGCAATAAATCTCCTTCTGTGCCCTAGAATCAGCGCCTGTTAAAGGTGTGCAGGAATTTAGAGATTAATCCAATCCCCCAGTTTTACTGATGAGAAAATTGTTGCCCAGAGCAAAATAAGAGTCTTGGACACAATTCCATAGCTATTAATGTTCTGTCTTGCCAAGCAGACCCTGCAACACTGGTCCAGTCTACAGAGTAGCTGAGATGTAGGGGTAAGATTTGGACCAATTTCGTTTAAATTCAGGGTGATTGATCCTCAAGATGTCCTGAGGGCTTAGTCTCAATTTTCCTTTTGGAGTATAGGGAGCGCCTAGTCATAGC